CGGGCCGCGCCGCCCGTGACCTTCCCGCCGCCCGGCAGCTGCGGCGCGGCCGCTCCGCCGCTGCCCCGCCGGGTCACTCACCGTGCGGCGGCTCTCCGGGACACGGGGCGGGACCCGCGGCAGCAGGAGGAGGAGGAAGGCGAGGAGGAGGAGGAGGAGCGGGAGGGAGCGGCGGGGCCGGAGCCGGCGGCAGCACCGAGGGCCCGGCGGCGGCGCGTCCGGCGCTTCCGCCGTCCGTGCGGCGCTCGCCGCCCCGCCCAAAGGTTCCGGGCGGCGGCGGCCCGCGCGAAGGTTCCGCCCCTGGATGCGGGGCAGCGCCGGCCGGGAAGGGCCGGGAGAGGCCGGGATCGGCGGTACGGGGACGTAGCGGCTCCACCGGCACCCCCCGGGCCACCGCTCCCGGCTACAATAGCGGGAACTTCCCACTAGCACATACACTTCATAAGGTGTACAGCGTGTTAAGAGGAGCACAAAATTATACATAGAAACAAATACAAAATAATAAATATAACATAAAAACATGCCTATATATACATATTTTATATAGCTAGGTATATAATTTATACGTACATATGGATACATAGCCGATATAAATCATATCTCACTTATTTCCAACACACACACAGTGAAAGAAGAACGCCCAGGAAAAATGTGGAAATGGCAAGATCTCTCTAATGAACCCAGAGTTTTGGCAATTCCTCTTCAGCCCAGGTTTTCCAGCGGCAGGACAAGAGGAAACGGCCTCAGGCTGTGCCAGGGGAGGTTCAGGTGGGACAGCAGCAGGAATTTCTTCAGGCAGTGCTTCCCTTTCACGCTGCTCCTGCAGGCTTTGATGGTAAAAAAAAATAAATATTATCATCTTCTGGGGGTTTTTGTTTGGCAGCTCGTGTGCACCATTGTGCTCGAAAACATTTAGGACCCTTCTGGTTTTCTTCCCACTCCTGGGAGAAAAAGTGGCATCTGTTGTGGTGCAATTGAGGAGAAATGCAAACACAGAGAGAGAGGAGGAAAAGCAGCTCGAACCCGACTGCTGTGACAAAACCTCTGCAGAAATCCCACCCAAAAACACTTTTAAAAGACGTGGGGAAGTGCAGCTTTTCAGGGTGGTGGGTTGGGCTCCAGTTTACCCAGACGCTGAGGGGTTGTGCTCGGGGTTGTGGCTGGTTTCCCTGTTCCCAGTGTGGGGTTTGCAGCTGGAGGAAAGCGGGAGTGTGGGAACAGAGGGGCTGCCAGGGACTCTGTGCCCACACAGGGCCAGTGCTGGCACGAGGATAAACGGAGGCAGACCAGCCCCAAATATACTTATCCTGAAAAGCAGGAGGAGGTTCTGGGAACAGCTCTGCGGTGGGAATAATGGTGGTGAAACATCTCCAGGTGCAACTTGGTACGAGTCTGAAAGGAATTATGGAGCACTCGCAAAGGCTGGGGGCTGCAGCAGCCTGGGACATCCCTCAGCTTGATATTCCACTTCATTCTGAGCCCTTAAAGGTCATTTCCTGCAAAACATTAAATCCCCAAATTTCTCAGCTCAGAGTGCAAAGAGCCTTGTACAACGGGGTTCATTCCCCAATGCTTGAAAGAGTTATAGAGAATGATTTAGAGATTTATAGCCAGGGCTTTCTCCCTGCCAGGATAATCAGTGTGGGAAGGAGAATGGACAGAAAGCTCCATGGAAATACCACGGGCTGCGGGGCAGGAATTTCTGCATGGCAAGGGTGCTCAGGCCTTGGCAGGGGCTGCCCAGGGAGCTTTGCAGTGCCCATCCCTGCAGGTGTGCCAGGAAGGGCTGGAGGTGGCACTCTGGGCTGGGGACAAGGTGGGCACAGCTGGGACTCCATGGGATTTTCCAGCCTCAGGGATTCTGCCATTCCGAGGGCAGCAGGTGCCCCAAATCCCCTTCCCTCGCTGCCCCGGTGGCCGCAGGGGGCGACAGGCGCTCGCTCGCCGCGGCTCCTCCGCTGCACGCCAACCCCGGGGGGCGTGAGGGGAGGACGACGAGCCGCCTCAAGGCCCCGTGGCCTTTCCCCGGGGGGCCGCACCGAGCCCGTTCCCCCCCTCGCCGGGCTGGGGCGCTGGGCTGCGGGGCGAGCGGGCGGCGCTGCCGGGGCCCCTCACGGCCCCTCACGGCCACTTCCGCCCGCGGGGGAGGCGCCGCCGCCAGCGCCCACGTGACCCGGCGCAGCACCGCGCCGCCTCGCTTCACCGCCCGTATCCCTCCGCCCGCCGCCTCCCCCTCTGTCCCCCGCCTCCTCCGTGCGGCGAGGGGGGCCGGCGGGCAGAGGGGTACGGACGGCGCGCGCAGCGCGATCCGCCCCCCCGGTTCCCCCCCCACGGTGCGCCGCTTCTCCGGTGGCGGGGTGGGAGGGACTACTTTGCGCGTTGGCGGATGCGTCGCGTGGGCGTGGCGGCGCCGCCCGCCGTCCCTCTCGGAAGCCGCGGCCATGATGGGCGCCCCGCGCCGGCGAGCGCTGCGGGCCGGGGGATGAGCGCGGCCGTGCCGCCCTGAGGAGCCGCCGCCGGGAAGAGCCGAGGGAGCGACCGCCCGGCCCCCGGGGCGGGGAGCGGAGCGCGCCCGGGGCCGCCCGGTGGTGCCTCGCGGCCGCCGCCCGGGCCCTGCGCGCTGCCCCGGAGCGGCCCCCGGCTGCCAGACATGACCGCCATCATCAAAGAGATCGTCAGCAGGAACAAAAGGCGATACCAGGAGGATGGCTTCGACCTGGACCTGACCTGTATCCTCCTCCCGCTCCTGCTCCCGCACGTCCCGCGATTGCATCAGACCCGCGCGGCGTTACCTAACGCGCTGCCCCCGGCCGCTCCGCCGCCGGGGCTCGCCCGGGCCGCCGCGCCCTCCCCCGCCGCCGCCGCCGCCTCGGCCGCCTTTTGTCCGGGCCCGGCAGATTAACGGGAGCTCCAGGATTAACGCCAGCGCTCCTTGCCGGCCCCCCCGAGCCGCCCAGGGGCCGTGCCCCCCTCCCCGCGGCCCCGGAGCCCCTGGCCGCTCACCTCCGGCCCTGCTGCCTTTTGGGCGCACGCAGCAAATGCGCCCGACCCGCCGTGGTTTGCACAGCGCTTTAAATATATATATATAGATATTTATTTAGTAACTCGCCTTGTGTCGCGATTATAATCGCGGCAGGCCTGTGGCTTTCCTCGGGTTGCTTCAGTGGAAGCCTGTGTCCTCTGCCCTGATTTGCAGCCCTCCGCTGAGGCAGAGCTGTTCCTTAGGATGCAGCAAGGCTCTCCATGACAAGAGGTGGCAATCGCTCCTTCCAAATTTAAAAAAAAAAACAAAACGGCCAAAACCCACCATTTTTTTTTCGTGGTGAACTGTACGAGGATGTGTCACGAACGGGTCTCATCGAGGAGGATTGTATAGAATACCTATTCTGGAATAAGTAATTAGCGTGCAATTACGGCTAATGAGGCAAAAGCCGGTGTGTCGTTTTGGTGGCCTTTGGAACAGATGTGTTGGAGCTGCGTGGGGCAGATGTTTAGTTTGGAATGCCCTGCAGGGCTCATGGTGGGTAGGGGCTCTGCTGTCGGCAGGGTCTGGCTCCGTGGTGGGGAAAGATTGGTGCTGTGGGAACGATTTTGGGGCAAGAACTTTGTTTAGAAGTTGGGAAAATGAATGTTGACAGTGGTGCTCAGAGCTGGGCTTCTCCCTGTGGAGAGATGTTTCTGTTCTGCGAGGGGATTAGGTGGAAATTTATTGGGTTTTGGAGCAATTACATTCAGGTCTGAGCAAGTGCTCCAAATAAATCCAGTTTTTGAGCAGGATCAAAGCTGATAAAAGCTGTAGCTAGTACAGAGCTCTTGCTTTTGCATTGAGCCTTGGCCTAAAATTTTGGTGGCTTTAAAAAAGCCTGAAATGTTCTGGACTTTAGTAAGTGCTGCTTGGCCTTTAGGTAAAAACCCAATAGCTCTGGTTCATTATTCCTGCATTTATTTGTGGTAAAAATACTTTTAGGCCTGGATTTTTAGGTGTTTGCACTTGGTGATTTTGTTGGCTTTATGGAAAGAGTTAAGTGGTGGCAAAACCAAAAGGTTTTGCCATCACAGTTGAAGAGTTTGGTGTTTCAGACATCTTTGCCCAGATGTGCCCTGGGTCGGGAGAGCTATTGTGACCCAAACACATCTTTTTAACTGGTCATGTGCTCCCAGCAAGAAAATCAGGGAGTGCTGAACCTGGACTTGCTTGCTCAAGGTTTCCTAATGGTGTGTCAAATGATGATTGCTTATTTTTAATTTTTATTCTTAGAATTTTATGTTAAAAGAGGTTGTTACACTGTGCTTAGGCTGGTGTTTCTGAAAGGAGCAGCTGGCTACAGTTCTGCCATGAAATTTGTGGAAAAGATGGTATGGTTTCTTTAATGATAAAAAATCATAGGAAAAAAGTCGGGTTTTTTTTTTTGTAGCTGCATATTTTGAACAGATAATTAATGAATGAAGCCTTCTGCCTGTGCAGTGGCTTTGCTTGAAGGCTGATGTTGCTGCAGAAGTGAAAGTTGAATTTTTTTCATCACTTTGTGCAGGCTTCTTTTTGCAGGGATTGTTCCTCACCATTCCTGGTAGCTGGGAACAACCTATTTATTCCTTACACATATGGACATGGATTTTAAGGGGATAAAATGTGATATTAAGGAGAAAAAAGAGAAAACCTGAAGCCCAGGTGAGCTGTTCAGCAAGGCATGGCAGGAGGAGCAGATGTTGGAGATGCCTGCTTCAGTCAGGGTAGCTGCCTCTGTCCAGCTGAAAGGAAGGGCAGCCAGGAGTTGGGAATTTGGCTGGGCTCTGGGAAATGGAGGCCTGGGCTCCTCCTGCAGCTCCAGAGCCCTCAGCAGCTGCTGCTCACCTGGGCTTTGGGAGCTGGAGAGTGGAGGGACCTGTGTTCTGTGCTCTGCCCTTTCCCCTGCCCCTCTCTGAGCGAGGCTTCCTGTCTCAGTGTCCCCTGTGATCAGCTTTTTGGGAATGGGTGTTATCCAGAGGCTTGCAGGAACCCCTGGGTGCCAGAGGCAGGCTGGGCGAGGTGCTGGAGTGCCAAAATCCTTGGTTGGGCTCTGTCACATCCTCCTAAAAGTGATTTTGATGTATGTGCAGTACAGGACGTTGTGCTTGGAGCCCTGAGGGGCTGGTTAAGAATCCTTGTGTGTGTAATGTGGGATTTCAGCAAAGGGAGACAGCACCTTCCCAAAATCAGTGCAGAGTGTGAAAATGGGCCTGTGTGTCTTTAAAAACCACACTGCTGCTGCTTGTCATCTAATCAGATGGTCTCTGAGCACTCTTTATGCACGTCTTGGAAAATATATTCTGAACTTAGAAGAAAGGGTTTTAAAGGTGGAGACATTAAATCATGCTTAAGATATTTCTTTCTGCTTTATTTGGGTTTTAATTAATTTCTGCAGTA